TCTCTTCCTGCTACACGCCGGGCAACGGGTTTCTCGTTGTTACGCCGGGTTTCCCGGTTTCCGGTCTCTTCCTGCTACACGCCGGGCAACGGGTTTCTCGTTGTTACGCCGGGTTTCCCGGTTTCCGGTCTCTTCCTGCTATACACCGGGTGACGGGTTTCTCGTCATTACGCCGGGTTTCCCGGTTTCCGGTTTCTTCCTGCCATAGGCTATACGCCTCCGTACACCGTATCTCTAAGTTATACCGGGTAATTTGTAAATCTTTTCCGGACACCGCTACAGGCTATACGCCTCCTTATTTTGTTTATACCGAGTAGTCAATAAGTTTCTCTATTTAGGGCTTTATGCCAACAAACATTTCGTTTATACCGAGTAGTCAATAAGTTTCTCTATTTAGGCTTTATGCCAACAATCATTTTGTTTACTTGTTTCTTTTTGAATAAACCAAAGTATTGTTAATAAGGAATAAGCGAGTCTGAATCTCCCCCTTCCTCCCGAATCCTGGAACCGGCGAGCCGATCCGCGGCGTCGGGAAAGGTGAACCGTTACATGGCGCCCGAACAGGGACCTGCCCAGTGGAGATCCCGACTCGCTTAAGCCTATCCAGATGCCCGCGTGGGTAAATCAATTATCAAAAACCGAAGCTATTGCCTTGGCCAAAAGACACGGAATCGATAGCCAAGGAACTTTAGACGAGGTCCGCCGACGCCTCCGCCGATTTGTCGGGCAAAACCCCGCGCTATTTCGAACTCACCTACCTGTGCCCACTATCAACGTCGAAATGGCCACCGGAAGCCCAACCAAAGACGAAGAAGCTACCACCCCGACACCTGTTGAACCAGCCAGGATCATGGACCAGATCCGAAAATGGGGGTGCCACTTCGAGGGCAAGGACCCCCTGGCATTCCTCGAGCGTACGGAAGAGCTGTGCCTGGGCTACGGCTACACCGACGCCCAGATGCTGTTAGGGCTACCCGAACTCTTACGGGGAGACGCCCTGCTGTGGTATCGCAACATCCGCGATACCATAGCCAGCTGGGCCGACTTTCGCCAAGCTGTCCGCCAGCAATACCTGCCAAGCGGGTATGAGAGACAGATGAAAAGGACGATCCAGGGACGTCAACAACGCCCTAAAGAGTCCTTCCAAAAGTACGCCACCGAGGTCCTGACCATGATGCGGCGCGCCGGGGGATATTCACCCCTAGACCAACTGGAACAGCTCTACGAAAACATGGATCCGGAGTACCAATTGTACATCCGTCGGGCGGACGTGCTCAGCGTCGGGGATCTGAGCATCCGAGCCACCGAATACGAAGAGGCCGACCGCCGAAGACAGGAACGACGAAGGGACGTGCCGCAAAGCCACACCCCGGTTGTAGCTTCCGCGGTCTACAGTCGGGAGGAATGTTGCTGGAGGTGCAAGCAACGAGGACATACACGCCTGCACTGCCAGCGACCTCCGAAGAAATTCTGCTCGAGATGTGGCAAGGACGGGGTCCTCACCCGTGACTGCCACCCCCCGACGGGAAACGGGGTGCGGGCCGGAGACGTCGCGGCCGTCGTCCAGCCCAACTCGGCCTAAAATACAACCCGAGACCGCACCTCCGGATCCAGATCGCCGGACAACATTTGTGGGGCCTCCTCGATTCCGGCTCAGAAATCTCATTCGTAAACGCTGAAACGGCCCGCCGAATCAACCGCACACCGTCTAGCCCAGATCTCAAGGCAGCCCAGATACGCCTGGCCGACGGGACGCAAGTCCCCATTGCCGAGACCATCGAAGCAACGGTCAGGTTACGAGGAAAATCGTACCGCCACCGCTTCTCCGTACTACCACAACTAGACAACGCCGTACTAATAGGCATAGACCTCTGGGCGAAATTAGGAGTCGAGCTGCGCCCGCCGCCCAGACCTGTCACCGAGACAACAACCAAAGATGGAATCGCGACAGCCAGTATCAGCCCAGGAACTACCAGCGAGGCGCTAAGGCTACAGGCCTTTCTAAATAACGAACTTCCAAAGTTCGAATCGGTCCGCGGCCCGACCGACAAAGCCACACACCAAATTCGGCTAAAACCGGGGCCGCCCATTAAACAACGATATCGGCCCCGTAATCCGGCCATGCAAGCCGTGATCGACCAAGAGGTCCAAAAGATGGAAGCCGAAGGAGTCATCGAGCCCTCCACCAGCGCCTGGAGCTCTCCGATAGTGCTGGCAAAGAAGAAAGACGGGACCTACCGATTTTGTATAGACTTCCGCCGATTAAACGCGGCCTCAGAAAAAGATGCATACCCGCTGCCTCACATTGCCGCCACCTTAGATAAGCTACGAGGCGCACACTACTTGTCCACGTTGGACCTACGCAGCGGGTATTGGCAAGTGCCACTAACTCCGGAGAGCCGCCCCGCAACCGCCTTCACGGTGCCAGGGAGAGGGCTGATGCAGTTCCGCGTCATGCCATTCGGACTGCATTCAGCACCGGCCACCTTCCAACGGCTGCTCGACACCGTGCTAGGACCCGAGTTAGAACCACACGTCCTCGTCTACTTGGACGACATAGTTGTCGCGTCCCGTACTTTCGAGGAGCACCTAGGCCACTTGGCCGAAGTCTTTCGCCGCCTCCGTGACGCCCGACTCCGCCTCAACCCAGAAAAGTGTCACTTCTGCCGGCCAAGTCTTCGGTACCTCGGACACGTTATCGATCGGCACGGAATCCGGACGGACCCAGAAAAAGTGCGAGCCATTACCGATTGGCCTGCCCCCACGACCCTCCGCAGGGTTCGGCAATTTCTGGGGGTAGCGTCATGGTACCGCCGATTCATCGCTGACTTCTCCACTATCGCCGCCCCTCTCACTCGACTCACTAAAAAGAGAGCGCGCTGGACCTGGGCAAAAGAAGAAGAAACCGCGTTCCGGAAACTAAAACAGGCCTTAACCACCGCACCTGTCCTCGCCTGTCCAGATTTTGCGCGACCATTTCTACTACAAACCGACGCCAGCGCCCACGGGTTAGGGGCCGTATTAACCCAACACCTCGGCGAAGGAGAGCGGGTTATCGCGTACGCCAGCCGGACCCTCAACGCAGCCGAGAAGAATTATAGCGCTACCGAACTAGAGTGCTTGGCTGTCGTGTGGGGTATACGCCGGATGCGGGATTACCTCGAGGGCTACCGATTCACCGTCGTGACCGACCACCAAGCTTTAAAGTGGTTACAACACATCGAGGCCCCTACCGGACGACTAGCCCGCTGGATGTTCGAATTACAACAACATGATTTCGACATCCAGTACCGGCGCGGGACACTTAACCAGGTGGCAGATGCCCTCTCCCGCCTCCCGGAAGCTTTGGCGGTGACCCGGCCGAAATGCCGGTGGTACCACCGTAAACTAGCCGAAGTACGGAGACATCCGACCGATCACCCGGACTATAAAATCCAGGATCAACGATTGTACAGGCATATACTCCACGATCTGGACTTCCGGGAAACACCAGCCGAAGAGCAATGGAAGCAGTGCGTGCCTACAGACCAACGACCCGCCCTGCTTCAGCGAATGCACGACGACCCGGCCGCCGGGCACCTAGGCATTTCCAAAACATTGGCTCGGGTGGCCCAGCTATATTACTGGCCCGGCATGTTTCGGGAAATTGCCCGGTACGTCCGAGGGTGCGCTAATTGTGCGCGGCACAAGGCCAGTCAACAACGACCGGCTGGTCGGATGATGGCCACCTCTGTCCGCGCACCATGGGAACAAGCCGCCGTAGACCTGATCGGTCCCCTGCCTCGATCCACTAGCGGCCATACCTGGCTATTAACCATACAAGACCGGTTCAGTAAGTGGATCGAAATGGTCCCGCTTAGAAAAGCCACCGCCGTAGCCGTAGCCCGAGCACTCACCGACCGCCTGATATACCGGCACGGGTGTCCGGTCGCCCTGGTATCCGATAACGGGACTCAGTTCGTCGCGCAACGCATTAAGGCCTTGCTAGCTTCCTACGGGATACAACATCGGACATCCCCCGTGTACACTCCGCAATGCAATCCGGTAGAGCGAGCGAACCGTACGGTTAAAACAATGATCAGCCAGTACGTAGGCCGGCGGCACAAAGACTGGGACGAGCGAATCCCCGCCTTACAGTTCGCCATCAACACCGCCCGACATGAGGCCACCGGATACACTCCGGCCTACATCCTGCATGGCCGAGAGCTCGCTCGCCCACATCCAGAGGATCGACCAGGAACCGCACCAGCACCAGGACCAAGCACCCGCCAGACCCAGTTGGAGGACGCCTACAAGGTGGTCCGAATCCACCTCGCCCGGGCCTTCCAGCGGCAAGAGAAGCCGTACAACCTGAGGCGACGAGACTGGCGACCGCAGCTGGGCGAACGCGTCTGGAAACGCGACCGCCCCCTGTCCAGCAAGGCCAACGCGTTCAACGCCAAGCTGGCCCCGAAGTACAGCGGACCGATGACTGTCCGGAGGATCGTATCCCCCGTAATTGTTGACCTCAAGGACGCCCGAGGACGATGGCACCGCCACATCCATGTGCAGGACCTCAAGGCGGCATCCGAGGAAGAGGACGAGGAAACCATCGGGGCGTAGGACAGGGCCAGCCGCCGTGATTCCTCCAGCGCCATACCCCCCACGCCATCTCGCGGCTCCCTGTATCAACCTCCCGACTCGGCCGATAAGATCGCAGGACGAAGGCCCGAGCCCACCGCTACGGGCCCCCCAGCGCACCGCGCGCCATCTCGCGGCGCTCCCGCGACTAATCACCGACACAGACGGGCCACGAGGTCCGACCCCCCGCCGCTAGGGTCCGCAGGGAGAATTCGGTTTTCTCGCATTCAAAGACCCCCCGTAGGGGTATAAGGGGAGCCGGGTCAATGACCCGGCTCATATTGCTGCGATGAGTCAACCGACCATCAAAGCGCTTTTTGGTGATATCTCCTCCTCGGAGGAGAGTGAAGGAACGGCTGACGAGCCAAAGGGGCCGCCTGTCAACCAGGCCCCAGCGGCGTCGGTCCGGCTCCCTCGGCCGGGGGTCTCGGTCCAGCGGTCGGACGGGCAGCGGGAGCGCCGAAGGGCTTCCTGCTGACCGTGCCGCCGCCACCGCCGGGTCCACGGCCGAGGGGAGTCCGGGCCGAACTACCGCGGCGTCCCGCCGTTCCTCGGGCGCAGCCAGCCCGGGCCCTCCCCGAGAGGGTGGCGGGGGTGGGCGCCGTCACAGCAGTGGCGGCGCCCTCCTCCCAACCACCAGCTCGGGAGGTCCGCAGGCCGCCTCCCGCGTCGCCTGTCGTCATGGTTACCCTTGACGACGGGCACGTGGTGGCGGTCCCGTGGCACTGCGCCCACGCTACTCGGAAGTTCCGAGCCACCTCCCCCACTGGACGGTGGATGGCGGTTCGACCGATTCGGCCGACCCCGTACGATCCGCCGTCTAGGGAGGGGGTAGTGTAACGGCGTAGCCGTTACTAACGCCTCGCGGGCCGATCACCCGCCCGCCACTTGAGGCTATGGCGCCTAAGGCGCCCCTAAGCACAAAATCATAACTGATACACGGGTCACCCTACCCCAGGGGCGCCCCACTACAACCCCCAGAGGCGCCCCACTACGACGCCGGCGTTACCCCCACCACAGCCTCGAGGTAGAGTGGGGGAACCGCCGGCAGGGTATATAAGCCGGCTCGACGGATGAGCCGGCACCAGTCCTGTTCCGGACCTCCTAGCCAGGCAACGGGCTTCTCGTTGTTACGCCGGGTTTCCGTTTCTGGCCTCCTACCTTTAGTATCGGGCAACGGGTTTCTCGTTGTTACGCCGGGTTTCCCGGTTTCCGGTCTCTTCCTGCTATACACCGGGTGACGGGTTTCTCGTCATTACGCCGGGTTTCCCGGTTTCCGGTCTCTTCCTGCTACACGCCGGGCAACGGGTTTCTCGTCATTACGCCGGGTTTCCCGGTTTCCGGTCTCTTCCTGTTACACGCCGGGCAACGGGTTTCTCGTTGTTACGCCGGGTTTCCCGGTTTCCGGTCTCTTCCTGCTACACGCCGGGCAACGGGTTTCTCGTTGTTACGCCGGGTTTCCCGGTTTCCGGTCTCTTCCTGCTACACGCCGGGCAACGGGTTTCTCGTTGTTACGCCGGGTTTCCCGGTTTCCGGTCTCTTCCTGCTACACGCCGGGCAACGGGTTTCTCGTTGTTACGCCGGGTTTCCCGGTTTCCGGTCTCTTCCTGCTATACACCGGGTGACGGGTTTCTCGTCATTACGCCGGGTTTCCCGGTTTCCGGTTTCTTCCTGCCATAGGCTATACGCCTCCGTACACCGTATCTCTAAGTTATACCGGGTAATTTGTAAATCTTTTCCGGACACCGCTACAGTCTATACGCCTCCTTATTTTGTTTATACCGAGTAGTCAATAAGTTTCTCTATTTAGGGCTTTATGCCAACAAACATTTCGTTTATACCGAGTAGTCAATAAGTTTCTCTATTTAGGCTTTATGCCAACAATCATTTTGTTTACTTGTTTCTTTTTGAATAAACCAAAGTATTGTTAATAAGGAATAAGCGAGTCTGAATCTCCCCCTTCCTCCCGAATCCTGGAACCGGCGAGCCGATCCGCGGCGTCGGGAAAGGTGAACCGTTACAACGTATATGCAAATAGCGTTCCGATAAACTCGAAGAAAAATATAATCGAATTTCACGAGGGTTTACCGCGCCGGAAGATTATTCTTACGATCCACTCACCCCGAAATTAGTGATAATCGACGATCTTATGAGAGAGTCGTCATCGTGCGATGTTATCGTAGATCTGTTTACTAAAGGAAGCCATCATAAGAATCTCAGTGTTATTCTCATTTCGCAAAATCTCTTCCATCAGGGACGCGGACAACGCGACATATCTCTCAATGCGAATTACATAGTAGTTTTCAAAAATCCACGCGATCGCGCGCAAATTCGGCATTTAGCGCGTCAAGTATATCCGGACGATCCTAAGTTTATGGAAGAAGCGTACTACGACGCTACCTCGAAGCCTCACGGGTATTTATTGTTCGATTTAAAACAATCGACTCCAGATGAATATCGATTTCGGACGTGTATCTTTCCCAACGATAAGCTGCATTACGCGTACATTCCACGTAGATCGATCAAAAGAGGCGGAGGCGTATAAAAGACTCGTATTCACACACGACTTGTCACTCGTGCAATTACACTGCGATGGTAAAAAAAGAAAAAAAATCGCAACCGGCATCATCGTCGTCGTCGAAGAATTCATCCGACGGCGCGGTAAAAATCGCTAGACGATCTATCGGCGGAAGAAACACGAATCTTTTGAAAACTTTATGTTATCTGAAAAAAAATCAAAGAACAGCGTTTTTACGTTCCGTCAATAATAATCTCATTAAGTGTATTCAAGAGTGCGTTTTCAATACTCTTAAAGGTAACGTACCGCTTGCGAGTAGTGAAAAGAAACGCCTTGCTAGACATAAATCGATCCTACGTCGTATTGCTGCGAAAAAAGATAATTTGAAAGTTAAGAGAAAACTATTGGTGCAACGCGGCGGATTCTTACCCTATCTTATTGCTCCTATACTCGGAGCTATATTATCCCGGATCATTGGAGATTAAAAAAGGGACGCTATTCTGTGTATATTTGTTGCGTCAAATGTGAAAAAGATAAAATATTTACAATTCAATAATGGAAAGAGCAAAAAAAATGGTTTTAATTTCGTCGGAAAATCTCGAAAGACTGCAGCGACAACCGGAAATTTCCTCTAACGCGTCGGCCGATAATCATCGAATAAAATTACCGAGATATCGAATGTGGAAAATGATACTAATAATTCCGTACGGACCCCGGGAACTCCTTTGTCACGGCTCGATGCAGAGATGTGGCGTATTCTGAATCTCACACCTCAGGTCAGCGAGGACGAAAGATGGAAAATGTATAAGGAGGTACTTCAGCGTTATCTTCAATTATTCGTGCTGCGAGAAAACGTTTACGCAAAACGTGCACGCCAGCGATGAACGCGATGAAGAACAGGACGAAGACACGAAAGAGCAAGAGGATGATAACTTCGATGATGACGATGAACTTATGGAAACGCAAACTTTAATTACCAGCGACGGTAACATTAGCGCCGCTAGTAGTAGTAGTTTCGAGAAAAAACGTGCTCAATCAGCGGAAATGATACAAAAAATACTTAATAGTGTTCCGAAAAGTTATCGTAGTAAAGCACGCTTGATAATGAAGCAACTGCTCCTTACTCCGTCATCTAAGATTAACTGGAATAGACAAGGGCTCGTAACTATAGACGGCGACATTGTGGAGGGTTCGAATATCGCGGAACTTATAAACGATGCGGTACGCGAGAGAAAAACGGTAGAAGCAACCGGAAGAAATCAGTTTGCTCGATTACTACGTGACATAGGTACGTCACCGCGTCTCATAGGAAATCAAAAGTTATTAAAAGTAGGCGCGTGATCTCGCTATATTACTACCGCGTACCTCGCGGATCCTCCACTCCGATCACACGTTCAAAATCGTACAGTCACAGGTTAGACGAAGCGAGTGAAACCGAAGGAGATACGCAATTTATATCCGCCGACGAGGAAGGTGACGACGACGACGGTGACGACGATAGAACATTACCACATAACGTAGTTTCTCCGTCAAAGAGAAGAAGAGGTTTACTCGATTGGATAAATCTCAATTGATGGAATTCGAAAAATTGTATTACGACCCCTCGCATTATGCAGGCTACTCTGCGGTGGACAATTATCGCGAGCCGTTAAACCGAATTTTACGCGTAACAAAGTCGTCGAGTGGCTTAAATCACAGGATGCATACACGCTGCATCGACCGGTACGACGAAAATTTCCTCGTTTACATTATAACGTAACAAATATCGATGATTTATGGGAAGCCGATTTAATCGATCTTCGTAATCTCAAGAGCTATAATGACGGTTATTCTTATCTATTAACGGTTATCGATGTGCTTAGTAAATTTGTTTGGGTAGAACCTTTACGTGACAAAACAGCTACCTGCGTAATAAAGGCCTTTCAACAAATATTTTCGAGAAACGAGGGTCGACTACCTGTATACTTACAGACCGACAAAGGCAAAGAATTTATCGCCCGCCCTGTACAAATTTCTTAAAAGAAAAAGACATCCGTTTTCGCGTAACGCGCAATCCCGATATTAAAGCGTCTATAGTGAACGATTTAATAGAACACTCAAGGAGCGGATGTGGCGTTATTTTACGCATAAAAATACACGTCATTACTTTGATGTTTTACAAGATATTGTTCACGCTTACAATCATACTCGTCATTCCACCATCAAAATGCAACCCGCTGTCGTTACGCGAGAAAATGCTCGTACCGCGTGTGAAAATATGAAACGACGATGGGATAACGATAAAGAAAAGAAAAAGAAGCGTGGGCGTAAACAAAAGGCTAAATACCGCGTGAACGATCTCGTACGCGTCAGTAGAGCAAAAGTAACCTTCGAGAAAGGATACGAGGCGAAGTGGAGCGAGGAGATATTTCGAATTCATCGAGTTCTCGAATGGAGAAAACCCCGCGTATATGAATTAAGTGATTTATCGGGTGAAATTATAGACGGAATTTTTACGAACAAGAATTAGCACCGGTTATTAAAGACTTACGCGACGAGGAATTTATCGTCGATCGTGTGATAAAAAGCAGAGGACGCGGTAACAATAAACAATTATTAGTTAGCTGGCAAGGGTATCCTTCTAAATTTAACTCCTGGATACCCGCTTCGAATTTAACTATTCTTCGAAATGAGGGTGGATCAATTTCTTCTGGTTCTTCCAAGCAATAGCAGTATACGCTATTCCCCGACAAATAAAATCTCATCGTTCATTACGGAATTACCTCAATCGCTGCACTTACACGGTGACTGGGAAGTCGCGTTGAGC